ATCATAAATTCCATTAAGATTTGACACCGCACCAGATTGGAAGTGGGACAGTGCGTGTCTTTCACCAGGTGGAGACCAAAGGGGGGAGGGTGGGGAGGGAAGGGGGGGACAGGAGTCAGGAAGGAAATGAATTGGATAACGATGCAATCAAACTATTTCACCATGAATAGATTTCCCTTTTGCCAGCCTGCCAACTGTTGAGCCATGACAGCAAGCAGCAAGGTGTTAGCCACGTTCTGCATTCTTGCACGAGCCAAGCCAGGCCAGCTCTGACATACGAGCTGCTTTGTAGGTCCAGCTTACCTCGAAGCCATTTCGAACCACAGTGCCTCTCCTCAGCTGCCCTGCCAGCCTGTGTGACTTAGCGGGACCAGTCGTCCTTCTTCTGCGCCAACATCTCAGCTCTGTTAAGTATTTAACATCCAGAACATTAGCACGAAAGCCACAGGACAATCCATTTGTCATGTCGTCTCACAGGAATTCATTATGGATGTACCAAAGGCTGGCTACAAAGGCAGCAATTGCTTCTAAGACTCACTTTCACTCCCCTCTTCTAAGAAACCTATTTCAGTGCATAATTAATCTTGAGAGAGGATGTTTTTTTGTGTGTGCCTTTCTAGCACAGGTGGATGAATCCGTCTCTACAAATGGAGACAGTAATTGGGAGGAAAGAAAATAACGTGATTTGAAGTGGAAGAGGCCAAGGTCTAATATTCAAAACCAGTAGCGCTTACTTCTATTCAAAACCTTCACGTCATGGTGATATATATCCTAGGAGTGGCAGCCAAGCTAGCTCACACACAAGAGGCATAAGGTACACATGCTGTAGGCTTAAAGAGGAACAAGCCTACATGTCTAAAAATAAAGCTTTGGAAATAGTTCCTGGCTCCCGCATATGCTTCTAGGAGAAAGCTTTAAAGAGCCCATATCATGGGAAACTGAATTTTTCTACCTTTTTTGAAATCATGTAGTATGTAAACATTGTTAAAATTCAAAACTTACCCATTTACTTCCTGGTCAGTACAGTCCATATATGGAAACTAAGCTGCAAAAACAGCCTGGGACTCCTCCCACATCAGCCACACACTGTTTAACCTCCTCCCATCCAGGAGGAGATACAGAAGCATTCGGACCAGAACCAGTCAGCTCAGGTCCAGCTTCTTTCCCTCCACCATCACCCTGCTGAACTCCACACCACTCTACTAATACTCTTACTTGTATGTTGCACAAAATATTTATTTATTATTTATTTTCCCTAGCATCTCCATACAACTGACTGTATACTGAATATAACACATAACTGCTTACTCTAACAGTATGTAACATACCGTATATATTGTGTTTATCGTATAATGTGTGTGTGTATATATATATATATATACACACAGCCCAGATGATATATATTATATAGCATATTCATAGATATATTTATTCATATAGTTATATATTTCATAGATATGTTATATTTAAGTATATTATTGCACATTTGCACTGTCTGTTTTGCACTATTGGTACTATTTGCACTTCTGGTGGACTGCATTTCATTGCCTTATACCTCTATCTATCTATCTATCTATCTATCTATCTATCTATTTTTGTGATGTCACAAAACTAACTCATTTATATACGTCTTTTCATCCTACAGCAATTTAGCCCCACCCATTGATGCTGAAGTTATAAGGAGCGTTTCAGCCCAGACTGCTTTTTTAAAGGAACGTTCATTTACATAAATTACATAAATTAGTCTTAAAGACATAGTAACAAAAACAGCCTGTTTAATTCTAAAGGGAGGTTAGAAAGTGGTCATGTAAAAAAGGAATAATGACAGCTTTTGGTGCATAAAACCACACCAATGTTAGAGGCTGACCTCTAAGAAAGAAGAATATAAAGAAAAATGAAGGTATTAAATTGATATGTAACTGTTATGTTATGTGGAGTTGCTTTCAATTTCGAAAAGAGACATCTCATGTACAAAAGTGGTTCTTTAAAGAACCATCCGTTGAAAGGTTCTTTAGGGAACCAAAAGTAGTTCTTCTATGGCATCGCTCCAAAGAACCCTTTTTTGGCACCTTTATTTTTAAGAGTCTACTGCAAGAACTATTGAAAGTCTTTGGTTTCCATTACAATTTGCCACCCCTAACCCTAACCCACTCTACTCCTCATAGCTCTCACAAGCCACCCATATCTCTCTACCCTGCAAAGGCCTGGTCATCGATCAGCACAGAGGAGAGCAAATATCGAGAAATAGGAGCGTCTGTCCAGCAGGTTAGGACAGTGGCATTAATCTCCTCTGCTGTGCGCTCTGCATCATAATGGGGCTTTTTAGTAACAGGCTCACATTTCAGACCCGCTGATAATCCCTGCACCGGCATGCTGCGGAAGGAGCATCGTAAACGAGCCGGACAGCGGTGGACGGGGCGGTCGGACATCATGGCAGGCTTACAAGGTCAATGTTTTACTTTGGCTGGTACGCTCTAATTAATTCACTGAGTCCTGCATCACACAGCCACAGACAGATGCAAAGCCGGTGAGCCCCCACTGCGCCATATGCCAATTAATTTGTGGCATGAGGTGAAACATAGCCTGGCATGTCAGCCAGTGAAACGCGGCTGATTTGGAGCACGTTCAGCATGGTCTCTCCAACTTTACCAAGCCAAAGAGAAAGTTGGGCATAATCCAGTTAAAAATACTTTTGTAAATCAGCAAAAATATTGGTTGGAGTCCATTTATATCTTTAAAGTAAGGCACAAACAGTTAAAAGAGAGTTGCCAGACCTTCACTGACATACTTTCTGAATTAGGCTACAGCTCACTTCAAGGAGCAACCAGTGTCCGCTAACATTTTTACTGTCTTCCTTTCAAATTATGGGGCATGCTATGTACATAGGCTCTAACATCATAACATGCTACAATAATGTGAGTCGTATGCAAAAGTTTTACCACTATGATGGAGGACACACGACTTATGCCCAAGTCCAAAGGCTGTAGTCGGCCCCAGCCACGCCACACAGAAAGCAAGGCTTAGGCTAACGGCTAGCTATAGTATTAACTCAGGTCTGCACTCGCACTTGAGCTCCGACTGACAAGTTCTTCCTGTTCTACAAAGAACGAAGCGGGCTAACCCAGCCTTCACTGTAGAACAAATAACCCAGAATAAACATGTACACATTTCTTGATCACGCTATAATATTCTCAGTTAAATGACATTTTGTTGATTTTCTAAGTGAAAATAAGTCAACACATCATCTACAAGGAACAAACCTAAACATTAAAAAAAAAAAAAAAATTGTGCACAATGTCTATTTAATTGTTATGTTTAACAAATTACAAAAAATAAAATATAAAATGTGCCTTAACTTTTGCACAGGCCACATTTTATGTTTTTTATTTTTTCCAAATATGTTATTTGGTAATTGAGCAAATAAACAGTCATTGTGCATTAAAATGTGCGAAATGTGTGCGGATGTGTTAACTTATTTTCACTTAAATAGAAGATGTGATTTAAGGTAGGCCCCACATATAATCCCACTACAGCATATGACACTACACTGCTGTCAGATTATGGAAACTATTTCAATATTGAGCCTCCAATACATAATAAAATAAACAATGCTAAAATTATCTTGGCTGGTTGGTTGTGCAAAGGCCTTGAATGATTGGCACCCCAATGAAAAAATTTAATGAAGAAAAAAAAAATGCTGTAAAAACTGATTCAAATTAAGACCACACCAGGTGATAATGATTATCTTATCCTTGATTTTAGCCTTGATTTATCTGATTCATTACCTGGATTCTATTTGTCACCGAAATTAAATCAACTCTGCTACATGCTTAGAAAAATGTTTCTTCAAGGATTCTTTAGTAACAGCAGTGGTTATATATAGAAAAGAGACAACTTACTATGATGGGAAACCTGTTGTTAGATTTAAAGAACCTTCTTAAAATGGTTCTGTGTGGCACCATGAAGGGTTCTGCTATGTTACAAGCCACAGAACCTTTTTTGGTGTTTTTTTTTTTTTTTTTCTAAGAGGAGTTGAGAGATTGTTTCAGATAGTAATAATTTTTCTCTGTATAATTACTCATTTATAGATCTATTTATTTTGAAAGATGATATTTAGAGTACTTAAAATTCTAGTCCAGAGCTATTTCTTTCTTTACAGTGTATGCCACATATACAACTCAACATGGATGGTTTCATGTTTCAATGCTCTTAGTTTTCTTGTTAATGTATGTATGTACTTATGTATGTATAAATATGTATCTCTTTATTTAAATAAATAAATAAGTACCCAGTGATGACTTGGCTTCAGCAAATATCCTCCTTATTGGCTATGTTTACTGTAACTGCTATTCACTATACTGTTTTATTAAGAGTACTGGTCATATTCAGCTCACATCAGCAGTGTGTCCTTCATTTCTTTACTTAATCCAGTGTCCAACAGGAGTTAGCCTACATATTTATGTGAGCATGTTTTCATAATTAATATTTTAGTTATGTTGTTAGAAGGGTGGGCTACCTAGGGGCCTTGGTATTAAATTTAGTGGACAAAATTACTGATTAACTTTTCTTACCAACTTTCTAGTCTGTGACCAACAACACAAAAACAAGTAAAATAAAAAACAAGCACTCTAATGCAAAAACTACAGAAACATCTAATAATAAGCTTGCAAAAAAATAAATTAATTTACTGTACTCTCAATTAATTTATTACTAATAACTGAATACATTACATTATTAATCAATTTTTATTTGTATTTTTATTTTCCATTTAGTTTTTAGGACTTAAATCTATTTTACTAATACAAAAACATTTGGGATAACACGCAATAATAATATTGCATATTTAACAAAAAATAGACTGTAAATAAACAAATAATGATGTTAGTCTATATTTTTTACCCAATCGTGGTGTAATTAGAGCAGAGGGGGGTGGGACTTGAGAGTGCAGCGCTGCTGTGATTGGTCGTCGCAGAATAGGGAAGCGCAGCCAGGTCACGTGACGCGCTCGTCAGCTTCATACAGCATGATCAACATGGCTACTACTAGGGAAGCTCAGCGTCTGTTCGCGGTGCTCTGCCTTTTCCTCACCACTCTCGTCCCCACCGTAGAGGCGTTTGACGGCGGCGACGCTGTGGCTCTTCTCCTGGGCATGACCATCACGGTGGTCGGGTTTTGTGCCTGCCTCGGCTGGTACGCGCGGAGACGAAACGGACAGTTTTGAGAAGTTTCGGCCCTCCAGGCCTGGACATGATGGTTTCTCGCCTCCTGAAATGCGCCCTTAAGACCTTCTTTTCCCTGAACGCACGGGGCAGAGACTGTGTGGGGGGAGACCCTACTGTGGCTAAATGGCTAAAAAGGCTAAAAGCTTAAGGCTGGAGGAGTTAGAAACATTGGCTCCTGTGTGTCCGTGCGCCATTCCCGGAGGACTGATGCTAACAGCAGAGGAGAGAGACAGACAGTGTGCTGCTCCAGAGCAACACCATTTCCTGGTCGACATGTGACTGCGGCCTGATGTGATCATGTCATCGAAGCACATGGATTTACAGTCACTGGACTCATTGGGCTTTCATATAGGGTGGCTGTCATTTGACATGTTATTGAAAATACTGTACTGTCCTTTCTGGCATACATACTGTGTATCATTCCACTTTTCCCTCTGAAATCTGTCCCCTGACTTTATTCTGTGTATCTGCTTCTCAGTGCATCAGACTGCCCCTTGCTTTTTGCACTTAAACGTGTGATCTTTACAGTGTTAACTGTTCAAAGATCAGTGGTTCGCTGCTGCCTTGTTTTCTTTCTTGAATAAACTTTGCAATATGTTGGCCAGCTGTGGCGTGTCCCGTGATTTTTCCACCGATGTGATTTTGATGTTATGTGAACGCGCAGTGCCACATAAACAGGCCTGCAGCTCCAATTCATTGACTCATTAACAGATAAAAAAAAAGCATAGAAGGGGGTGGAGCTTAGGATGTAGGCTTGTTATTCAGGCATGTGCATACAGTGAGGTTTCCATCTGCAGGGAGAGTTAGCTTTGTCTTAATTATGCGTGTCGAGTGTGCTTATCCTGAGGTGAACCCCAGCTTATTCGCCCTTAACCCCCCTATCCATGGCCACAGGAATAATAATCAGATTCCTTCTAGCTGCTGGGTGGATGCAAGAGCGAAGTAAATACATAAATGATGCATGCAGGCACGTTAGACACAGATCAATAGGCTCATGAGTGCTGTTTCAGACGGTCACTGTGTCGTCCTAAATAGACCTAGAAATATTGAGCACGGTGGACGGACTGTGGCTGATGAGTAGGAGGTGAAAAGGACCAGTGATGCTGCCCCCATTGTGCAGATGTTGCCGAGGGAGGACGGCGCTGCTGCTGCTGCTGCAACAAGAGACGAGACGCGGCCAGATCACAAACAGCGCCAGTGCGCATGCTCCGTCTGCGCCGCTTACTGTATATTCACAGTGGGGGAAAAAAGGGCAGGCAACAAAAACCGAGCATTTTTACGGCAAAGCGACTCCTACCATGTAAATAACCTACAGGAAGACAAAGGGCAGTATCAACAGGTATGCTTTTTAATTGATATCTTCGCTATTTTCTGTTCGCAGTTTTACACGCAGCTCGGATTGCAGTCGATTCCTAAAGCGGGGACTTGGAAACTGCTCGAGAGCTAACGGCTCGGTCAGAGTCGACCCACAGCGGTTCTGACAGAGACTCGGTGAGGTAAAAAAAATGAGAAATAACCGCTCAGATAGGACGCCGTGTGTATAGTTTTACTGTCCGAACACACAGGTTCGACTACGCCTTCAACATGGCTAACAAATACAGGCGTACAGTGATGATTTTTAAAATATCGGTGCGACATGAACGTTATTCGAATGGGGGTCTTGAGGCAGCCTGAATGATGCTAACTGGAGTAACGTTAACGTTAACGTTCGTCTGCACAGGCTTGGTGCTTTCATTCGTCTTTTGTCGTCGAATGTGACAGGTTTACATTAGCCCACATAAAATATATATATGTATAAATAAGAGAAATCGTGTAACTACTAATGTGTCCGTGTCATTTGAAGTCAAAGACACCGTGTTTTCGCTCTTTTTTTGTGATCTGTTTGTCGTGTAGGGTAGCATACCGTTATCCCTCTCCATGAAGGCTTTCATAAGCGATGCTACCTCAGTGTTGGGCTTCTTTTCATTCCAGCCAGCAGTCAGTCAGCTAACATGGACGCTCAGTTAGCTCTCCGCTCATTTTCTACAATACCCAAAGGCTAAGACGAGATGGTCCCTGTTAAATAAGAGCCCACATCAGTTCTGCAGATTCTCTGGGTGTGATCAACAGCTTTCTTGCTGCATTTCTGTTAATGTTTCACTCCTTCCACACTGCAACCTCGAAATAAAGCCATTGTCTGCCCTCCGTGTTTAATAACGTCGTTCACGTTGGGAAGGCTTGTTATAGATGAGCATTTTCTGTTAATATTCCTTTGGGTTTCTTTGTTTGTTTGTTGTTTGTGTTTAGTTTTGCCTGTTTTTCTTTTTTTTTGAAAAAAAAAAAACGGCTGGTATTGCTAGGATTAATGTCTGTGTCACGTCGAATTGAATAAACCAACTGTGTGAGTCGAAACAGGCTCTGCACCGCCTGCATACCATTGCAGTTGTAATGTGATGTTCAAATAGGTAATGAGAAATAAATGACAAAAGCACGAAAATGAGTGCCTCTTATGCAATGGCTCCAAGCCTGATGTAGAGGGAGCAATGCAATGAAAATCAGCCTGTTTGTTTTGTGCTAGCAAATCCTGATGGGTGGATCGTGTTTTTCAGGGATTTTTTTTAGGTGTGATGAGACAAAGGAACAAAGGATGCCTTAGAAGAGAGGCAGATAACAAGGTTGGAATCTGCTTCAAAGCACACCAAATGGATCTATCGCTCCCCATTGCATCCAGATCATGATACTTGGCTGAAGCTTTAATCATCTTTATGATCCCTCCTCCATCTATGGCGAACTATAGCCATGCAGGGGACCACAACATCTTGCAGAATGTCTCTCCGCTTGCCACGTTCCTTAAACTAACCTCCCTGGGTTTCATCATCGGCGTCGGAGTGGTCGGAAACCTCCTGATCTCCATCCTGCTGGTCAAAGACAAGAGCCTGCACCGCGCACCCTACTACTTTCTGCTGGACCTGTGCGCCTCGGACATCCTGCGCTCTGCCATCTGCTTCCCCTTTGTGTTCACCTCGGTCAAGAATGGCTCCGCCTGGACATACGGCACGCTCACCTGCAAAGTGATTGCCTTCTTAGGCGTGCTCTCCTGTTTCCACACAGCCTTCATGCTGTTCTGCATCAGCGTAACGCGCTACCTAGCCATCGCCCACCACCGCTTCTACACAAAGAGGCTGACCTTCTGGACCTGCCTGGCCGTCATCTGCATGGTGTGGACGTTGTCCGTGGCCATGGCCTTCCCGCCAGTGCTGGACGTGGGCACCTATTCGTTCATCCGCGAAGAGGACCAGTGCACCTTCCAGCACCGCTCCTTCCGCGCCAACGACTCGCTGGGCTTTATGCTGCTGCTCGCCCTCATCCTCCTGGCCACTCAGCTTGTCTACCTCAAGCTCATCTTTTTCGTTCACGACCGTCGGAAGATGAAACCTGTCCAGTTTGTGCCGGCCGTCAGCCAGAACTGGACCTTCCATGGTCCGGGGGCCAGCGGCCAGGCTGCGGCCAACTGGCTGGCTGGCTTTGGCCGAGGCCCCACGCCTCCAACCCTGCTGGGGATCCGGCAGAACAGCAATGCGGCGGGCCGCAGGCGTCTGCTGGTGCTGGACGAGTTCAAGACTGAAAAGAGGATAAGCAGGATGTTCTACATCATGACCTTCTTCTTCCTGAGCCTGTGGGGGCCCTACCTGGTGGCCTGCTACTGGAGGGTGTTCGCCAGGGGCCCCGTGGTGCCTGGAGGCTACCTCACTGCGGCCGTGTGGATGAGCTTTGCTCAGGCGGGAGTCAACCCCTTCATCTGCATTTTCTCCAACCGGGAGCTCAGACGATGCTTCAGCACCACGCTCCTCTACTGCAGAAAATCCAGGTTACCTAGGGAACCCTACTGTGTTATATGAAGGCTTGGTTTTTTGGTCTTGGGTATTTTTTTTTTGCTTCCCTGATTTGTCAGGGATACATCTTGTTGTATAGCTCTCCTCTCTTTCTCTTCTTCACTACAGTCCCACTCCCCAGTCACCCCAGCCCCCACCCCATAGGTCTGATGTGGAACTGTCAATCATACACACCTCTTGATGTGAATGAGCGTCACACATGAAGCTCGAAGGGAATAAAAATAATCAGGGAGCAGAGGACCCCTCCTGTGTTTATGTTCTAGTAAACAACTGCTGTGGAAGGCCATTTTTAAAGCAGATACGCAAAAAAAAAGAAAAAAAAGAAAGCAAGAAAAAGAAAGAAGGAAAGAAATGTGATGTTAACATTAGACTGACCCGTCTGCTTTGGATATGTTGAAGACTCAAGGTGTACATGACAGAAAACAAATTTTCCCTTCTGGGAATCACTGGAATGGTTTTGCGTTTAAAAGTTGCACTAAGTTATAAAGAAGTTAAAAAGATGCTTTTTTTCGCTGAGTTGCATTGCAAGGATGTCTCTTTTTTTTCCCCCCCTAACTGAAATATGAATGCTTTCATTTGCAACAGACTTCTCATTCACTGTAAGTAAACAAACATGTGGGGTGACAGACTCTGTTGGAATACACCTTCACAAGAGGATAAAATTGGTTTAAATGTAAGTGATTTCTTTTTTTCAATTTTCGGGGGGTGGGTGGGGAGGGGGTGGGATTCAATGGATACTGATGTGTGGTTTTCCAATTGCAACTTAAATTATTTCCTGTAGTTTTATGATCCATGCAGTATGTCCGTGTCTGGCAATGTTCTTTTCTTATCTCAGTTTCTAACAGTCTTAATGTTTGGATTTTAAAAGTTGCTCTTGAGAACCTTGTGCTAAAATGACAGTGGAGAACCAGTTCAATGTTTCATATCCATGTACCTGAACACTGACATATTGTTACAGTATTGCTGATACCACTCCAGATGTTCTTGCCTTAATGGTTATGATGTTTATTTTTGATTTCTTTTTTTGTTTTGGGTCTGATTTTCAGATGTGCTCCTCAAAAATGTCTCCAGGCATATAAGGGAGTGTTTTCACATTGATGTGAAGTGCATGTTCATTTTAAATGCATATCCACTTTCATGAGCATCACCACTGGCATTGCACCAGACGCCCCATTTCTTATCCTGCAACGGTTTGCTACACACCTACACCCCACTGAGTGCGCAGAATGCAGGGAGCAGAGAGCGTGTCTGTGTGTGTGTGTGTGTGTGTGTGTGTGTGTAAGCTGGACAACTGTCACGTCAAGACCAGAGCCTTAGTATAAAATCTTGCACAATTTGTAAAAAATTTAACAGAAAAACAACAAAAAAAGACATTGTATTTAAGGCACAGCGTCTTGTTTATACTTTCCCGACATTTGCTCTCTACTGATTGTTTTGATTAACTTACTTTTTTCTCTTGTGGCCATTTTAATATTTATTATGTATTTTTTTGTATATTATAGGTAGATAGTGTGTAAGTTTGTGAGTCTTTCATTTTGAAGTCCCGGACGTGAGTACTGTTTAAGTTAGGATTGCATTTGCTGAAAGTTAACTGTGTAATCTGTTGCTTACATTTTTGAAAATAAAATTTTACATTTTGCAAAACCTGTTTTTTTCTTCTGACTGTAAATCAGCCAATTCCAATGACCTCGTTGTTTTTGTTTTTCAATAATTGGAAGCTCAATCAACGAAAAAGAGTTAACTGATAGATAGCACGTATATATTTAACATATTTAACATATTCTTGCTGAAACATTGCTGAAATCCACATGGATGCAAATTCAAAAATATTTGCAGCTCTTTGAATGAATGTGCAGCGACTGTGTCTACTTCATCATTGTCACTTTAACTCGTTTTTTCTGTTGATGCAATTTCTATGTGATTTTATTTAAGCTGGACCATGTTTTTCGAATGACTGGCCAGATGTATTGACTGTTCATGTGCCCTACAATGCCAAACCGCTGTTTGAATAATATAATTCATGTGTCAGATGTCACGTGAGCTCAAAACATTACATTTTCAGCTGACCTGAAAAGTCATTTTAGGCCAACTGCAGCAAAAAGCTTTCTTTTAGCCAGAAAAGTTATTATTCCTCAAAAGGGCCCTATCTGACTGCATTGTGGGCGACACTCTGCTTTCATTTTACCCCATTACTCCTTAACAGGGGGAAACCATCAAGAATATATCTTGCCAAAAATGACAACAGCCACTTTGAAAAACCCCTTGTTAGTACAATTTGGACAGCTGCAGTAGAATCGTTCACTTGTTGGGGAGATTGCAGAGCTCCTACTCGTATTCTTGCCCTGGTTGATTCTTTTTTTTGTATTTTAGTGGTGGGAGACACACCACACTAGAGTAGAGAAATGACTAACCACTGGTTGAAGGTTGTTGATAAAGAAAGATGTGTACCATACACCTGAACTTAAGGCTGTCTGTATTGTAAATCACTCCTCCAATGTTCTGTACCAGTTTTAAAAGGAATGATAATCTCCATGCATTGATCATGTGCTCTGTATTTCTATATTATTGCTGATGTGATACAAACGTTTGTCTGAAGCAACTGGTGTGTACAATAGGTACCTAAAGACAAATTGTATTGACTGTAGTCTCAAAAAAGGGAAACCAGTAGAGGCAAACTAGCCAGTGTAGTGTTCTGTTTGCTTAAAGGTTGTAGTGTTTCCTTTTGTTTTTGTTTTCACATTTTCTGTTCTGTTTTAACTCTCCCAATGGTATTGATTTTGCCTCCATTTTAATGTTAACATGACATGAATTTACTTAATGTCCTTAGAGTGAAAACATGAAACACTGATTTTCTCCCAAGGACATGACTTTCTTTGTCCTAAATCGACATTCCAGCCAAAAATCAAATTTACCCATTTTTCCATTTGGCTCAAATGTTGAGGATCAGCTAAAACATGATTGGCCAAAATTGGCATCTTTAGTTTTGCACTGAAGCTACAAGGCTAATGTAGCTAATACGTAATGGACAAATTAGTTAAATCTAATTAGCATTGTGCAAAGTGTAGGCCTAAAACATCACACACTTGGTGAATGGTTAAGTAATGTAATGTGCTAATGTGGTTTCTGATACTGTATGACATCCTGTTATCTATAAAAATGGAGAAATGTACAGTGCAGAGCTAAGAGCAGTAGAAGTAGCCATCTTGAGGACTGAATTTTATCCATATTTATATCGTTTTCATAGCCAGTGCTATGTTAGCTACAGTAGCATTGTAGCAGCAGTGCAAAACTAAAGAAGTAACCTTGAGACCTTAAACATACACTGGTTGTTTGATTACATGTGTGGTAACAGTTGTTTATATTTGACTTTTTGCTAAATTATTGCTTTTAAAATAGACCAAAAGTAGATTAATAAGGGTCTATTTGACCTTGCCTAAATAAGTGCCTTTTATTCTGTTTATTTATTGAAAGTTTCCTTCTGCTTTCTTGTCTGATAATGGCGACCACAACCTCTCAATATCTATGCCAGACAGAGAAAGAAGTCCCTAACATGCTTGACCGGTTCGGCCTTTCTTTTTATTCAGGGGCAGGACACAACACCGCAGTGCTTTTCTTAACGCAATACAATAGCATTATGCATGTGTGCTTTGTTAGTGCATAGCAACGTGCATGAGTGGGGATTGTATTGGTGGCGAGGAGGGGTGTGTTCATTACTGCGCTGTTAGCCTAGGCTGTAAAGCAGGATTGGGGCCACAAGGTCCCCCCTTGCCTCAGCATCCCTGGTGAAATATCACAGAGGTAGCTAACAGTTATCGATGTCCCCAGATCAGCCTTGTGCTGTCAAGGCAGGACTGGAACAGCAGGGGGTTATTCCAGGGGGCAGCGCACCACCGCTAATGTAAAGCTGTGGATCGATAGCTAAAGTGAACAGTAATGCAGAATTCACTTCTCTCCTTTTAATAATTATGTTTAATATGTATGGTTAAAACATTTATATCAAAAGAAAAAACAACAAATAAATGCTAACGAGCCCAGAGGGGTGCAGTATCTGTTGCAGCTTTAATCCATCCACAGTTGGATATATTAACAGTGATGGAAATATTAGCATTGATATTGTGATGCGATGCAGTTGGAGCAGATAAAAGAATGGTAATACATGTGTCCAGCTGTGTTGCAGCAGTGGCAGTGCATAAACAGCTGGACTGAGCTTTCAAATCTGTTTGTTGGCAATCTAACCCCCACCCCACCTAAAAAAAGTCAGATTATGCTTGATTTGTGCTTTATCTGTAAAGTATGCACGGAAGGCTATGGAGGGAGGAAGACGGAGGTGCTTGAGCGCAAGTCCAATAAAAAAACAAGATGATGATCGGTGCTCCCTAGAGGTCTGCCTCGACAAAATGTTGCTGTATTTATCATCATCCACATCCCTACTACAGCCCGCCGTGGCCTCTGAATACAAATGATCAGGGAGACGGCGCCCAAAGTATTTGCATTTGGGCAGAGAAGATTTTCGTCTGTAACGGTTAAACACACTTTTTATCGGTTGGCTGTGCTTCTGGCTTTAAAAAGAACATCCCTGCTTTAAATATTAACTGATTAAATAGTGGATGAAGCTTCAAAGGTTTCCCCTTGCATTTTTAAACAGTATTTCTTCGCGAGTAAGAGGATTTTTTTTTTTCAGAGTTATGTTACTTTATCCTCAAGGGATTTTAGACATTGTTAAATCACTCATATCACACATAGATGACTGTGTTTAATGCTGATTTTTCTGACAGGGTGATCCAAACCTCTTCACTGCATGGCTTTATGCATATTTTGTTTACTAGCAGACCCTGAAGGGATGGTAATAAGATGACCACCCTTGAAACAACTTGGAGTAAAGTGCCTTAAGGGTGCAACTGGCCTATCCTTGCTTCACCCACTTTCTGCAACTGTTAACAAGGTTGAAAAACAAAATGTAGTGCAATTTGTTGAGAATTGGTATAGTGTTTGACTTTAAAATGCTTTGCTACCAAGCTGGACTTTGGTGTTGAAGCTAATTGAAACTAATCGGCGACAACAAATTTACCACCATGCTAACGTTAGCTCAGTTGCCTGACAAAAGACACATTTTATCTATCCTAACAATGTAAAAAAGACATACAGAATAACAATGTAAAGCTAATAACACCCTAAGTGGAGGTATTTCGACAAAAAACTGTGTTGCTACAAGTTCTTATTTCTCAACGTTTTGGAAAGCTCACCCAACAGTTACTAGGAAAGAAAGCATAGCATGGATAGGTCAATTGCTGAGAGGACAGTGACCTTAGAATCTGTGGTGCTGCAACCCAGTGCCCCAATGTCTTTTTCCTAGGGTGTCCACACTGGATCAAACAGATCAAAAAGCCTCTGGTTAGTGAGTATCCTCAACCACCGAGCTACCAACTGTCCTTTGAACTCCGTCCACTTTGCCTTCCCCACTGCCTTAGGGAGACTAGTCATCGCATGAATACACAACATCACTTTATTCCCTTGCTACTGTGTGCCTCTGCATATTTTGCATGAACTATAAATGTCTCAGCAGTAGCTTAGAGAAATCTGCTATAATATTAAAACATGAGTCAGCAGTATAACAGTCGCATGTGTTGGGGTAACAAAAAAAGCACATAAACTGCAGACGAGAACAGAAAAGACAGCCATCAAATAGAGATTAGAGGTTCAACTAAACACATTCTAGCATTGTCCCCTTCACTGTACCACAAAATAATGCAGAGAGAGAAATCTGGTGCTGCCATTATGCATTGTTCATTATGATTACTGTATATTGAACTGCTTATATGTGTTTATGGTGAATTGATCAAACTGCAGTGAGTGTGTCACTTATTGTAGTCACAACACTCTGTCCTCTTGTTTCTCATTTGATACAGAAGGTTGACAGGCTACAGTGTTTGAAATGAGATTTGGAGATGTCATCTCTTCTGGGGTGCAATTGCTGAGCAGAATATTGAGCACATCATGACAGCCACTGGGGACAGAAATTGAATGAAAGAAAAGAAAGCAAAAAAAAGAGACTCTCTCTCTGCAGACCACCTCGACTTAATATTGGCTGATTTCAAAAAAGGGCTATAACCACAAAAGCTGAAGGATGTGTACTGTTTAAGGATAATTATTGCTATGTTGTCTGCACCTGTTGTATTGTTGTAATGCATCATATAATTATGCTTGCTTTGTGAGTAAAATGCTGTTTAGTCAATAATTGAGGGGAGATGTTTTGAATCAGATAGCACTATAGATCTGCAATATGTAATGTGTCCTGTCTTCTCAACATGAGCACTCTTAAAAATAAAGCTGCCAACAATGTTCATGGAGCGATGCCAGATAATCACTTTCGGTTCTGTAGGGAACCTTTCAATGGATGGTTCCTTACAGAATCATTTGTGAAAATTTGTGAGAATTTTACGTATATGAATATTTTAAGTTATAGAATCTCCACATATAGTAAAAGAGTCTAAACCAATTAAAACGATTTTTCTAGAACCATCCTAGAACTGCTTGCACAAAGATTTTTAAAGAACTAGACATAGTTTCCCAATTCTGGTCCTGGAGTACCCCCTGTACTGCGCCTTGTGTTTTTTCCTGTTTTAACACACCTACTTCAACTCAGAAAGAACTTTTTAACCCCTAAAATGGCCCGGGCCC